GTGGGATTGTAAAATAATTAGTAATAATTGAAAAAAATGTAAAAATGCCTAACGAGATATCTGTATCATATATCTGTCCTGGTTCGATTGCTGTGTAGGAACCAGACAATGTAGCCAACCCCGAAACTGCCCACAGCTGCGTAGGGATCCTCCAGAGAGGGATCGGACTAAGCGGGTATCGTTTTCTATTGGTCGGCGACTATTTGTTTCAAAACCGGAAACAGAGAGAGAAAGAGCGAGCGAGTAAGAGAGATAGAGCCATACACACACGCGTGCGCGTGACCGTAAATCGCAACGAAACGAGGAGAGGAGAGCGAGTAAAGCAGAATAAGGACGAACGGACGGATGGCCGATGCTATCCGGAGAAAGGAAAAACGTGCCCCATAAACTAGAAAAAGAAGAAGAAGACGAACGGACGGAGAGAGAGCGTGGCTCGCGCGAACGGAGAAAGGCAGTCGCAGGAAGCAGAAAACCGCGTCGTCACGGTATACCCTGTCGTCGTCGCCGTCGTCGTCGTCATCGTTATCGTCATCGTCGTCGTCGTCGTCAACCTACGACGCAGCGTTCTCCTTTGGCGTCAACGATCGAAGAAGGACGAGGACAAGTTAGTCGTGTAGGTTAGTACGCCAGCGAAACGATAATTAGTTAAGGAACTTTACGGTGCCCTTGCCTCGTCTATGATTATTTCACGTGAAACGTTGCTCTGTTTTTGTAGGATTATTAGGCTATTCTCATCTACGCGCCTGACGAAAGAACGGTGGTGTACGATTTAGAAAGCTGCCTGCCATTTTTCACGCATTTCTGGAAATACGCGACCGAGACCTTCCGTTCCGACGAGGCGTTACGACCCGAATATCACAGAAAATTCCGTCTGGTGCCCGCCAGCGTGTACCTATAGCAGTTTGCGTCGAATCGGCATCACATGAAACGCAAGAACGGCACTTGGATCAAGACACTGCTGGATTATCCTCCGATCTCGACACCAAGATTAAAATATAAATCGAAAATGTGACTGATCAAGTTTTACAAGATTTTTTTATACATTTATTATACACAAATTAATTTTACACGATTCAGCAATTTTCAAACATTTCATATACACATTTTTGAACATTTTTGCATTTATATATTTATTCTTTTAAGTTACATCTGTTTTTTGTCATCAATATATATTTTTTACGAATCAATAAATATTTTTTACGAAAGGAACTCTTGCGCACCAATTACCACTGAAAGAATTTGTTTATATTTTATTATTTGTAAATAAACTATAACTGTAAGAATTACTGTACAACATTTTCGGTATTTAAATATAAAATTTTATTTTTCTCATTGTATAAGAATAATTCACTCATAAAAAAGTCATGTAAAGTTTCATTGTTGACATTTTTCCGCGATGCTGATTGCTTTTTTATTGCACTTATTTTGTAAACATCTATCATTACTTATTTTGACAGTTTGTGTATTAATTCGTTAATAGTATAATGTAATAGGAATTGTATAATTAAAGCTAAATAACACGCGCGTAGCGCGCGTCTGTCATGTCTAATTATATAAAATATACACATTTGCATTGAAACACGTTTGAGTTTTGCCGCTGAATATACCACTTCCGGTTTTGAAACAATGGCGACAGTTAGTCCGATCCCTCTCTAGAGAATCCCTACAGCTGCGTGCGCCATCGCGCCATCTCTCGCAAGATCCGTGAACTACTGCTGTGACATAATTGCTGCTCTGCGTGAATATTTTTGTGAAAAATATACACGATCGTTTCAAAGCTCTCATTTTTATTCCAGGCTTTCAATCTCAATTTCAAAGGTACGTTATTGTTTGTGCATGTCTTCTGAAGGGTGGGAAAGTTTAATTTCGTACATATTACGTATACAACTGTTTATATTAGAAAATAAGGTTATGAGGTGACAGAATTTTAAAATTATTTTCAATTATTACTAATTATTTGACAATCCCACCCTTTATTAGTACTTCTACTTTACTCCTGTAAAAGGATTTTGCGATCTGTAAAGCCGTTTCGAAATGAGACCTTTGACTGTAATTGTCGGTAATTTGAACGGCTTTAGCATCCCCTTAAGGAAATACGCAAATCTGGTTGGTACTTACTGGGTGTGAAACTGGGTGTGAAACTGGTGGTGGGTTGATTCGGAAACATATGAGAGACTGAACTGACCGGTGTATAGCCACCAACGGCACCAGTGAAATTGACTTGATTTGCTGGTTGGGTTTGCGTGCTTGGTCCAGGTATATTTTGAGCTGGTATAGTTTCCTGTTCGCTTTTTAAGTTTTTCATCGAGCTATCCATCGAGGTGGTATAACTCGGCGGAACAGATACTCCGGATTGTGTACTGACAATCGGGTTGATTTCCGCCACGGTAACGGTAGCAGTCGTTGCTGTTACCGGTTGAGTTTGCATTGCAGTCTTGGGAGTGTTCTGAAATGGAAATATTCATAGTAATAATTATAATAATAATAGTAATGAAGTATAGCAGTTTTCAAAGAATTTGGGTAAAGCTAATATCTATTAAAATGCTGTTAATTATACATTTTTTCTTGAGATTATTCAAATATCGACGTTAAAACGTTATGCATTTTTTTACCACATATGAATTAGCAGGTTTCTGCTCCAGTACGCTTCTGACAGGTATTCTATGTAAGTACCCATATCCGATTCCACATCCCAAGCTATTAAAAGTAAATACAGAATAATTTAATATCTGCATGCCCAAAGGGCATCTACCGATTATTAGGTCCAACATTGTGAAATACTATGTGAAAAGCTATGTACCTTCCTTCTCCGCCCCAAGTATTATTGGGTGTAATAGTCACTTCTCTGCAAGTATCATCCGTAGTATTATATACATACAATTTCAGAGGTCGTGATTCGTGTGCCTCTATTAAGGTAAATAAATCTTCGCTTTCATGAAGAATGGAGTCTGCTCCAATAATATAATCGGTAAACGGTCGTAAACCGGCCAATTCAGCAGGAGACGATGGATGTACTTCCTATTAATTTAAAATTTCAGCATTTTTTCAGTGTAACATCATATTATATAAAATAATCCAAGATTTATATAAAAAATTTATACTTACAAGTACATGCCAAACGTTTTCGTTAGCGCCTTCAAACGAACAGAAACGTATACTAACACCCAATAGACCCTGTCCACCCCATGTCATACTCGGAACAATTTTGGTTCGTCTTACAGACTGTGTTTTACTACTGTATACTGTGATTGTTAGTTCCTTATTTACACCAACCTTTAGAAGTTCCTTCAAAGTATCGTTATCTTGGTCCTAAAATATGTAGCATTTTACAATACAAATACAGCACGACTGTGATTAATGCATGTATTAATTTAACTGTATAAAATATGTATCCTTCATCAGAGCAAGAATTGCGAGTGAACATACCAGACGAGTATTCCCAATTGCCACTATAAAATCAAAAAATGCTTCGAGTCCTGCTTGCTGCCCAGGAGAACCTTCTTGAACCTGTCAAAAAAGATACAGAACATCAATTAGTATTGCACTTGTATCAGTATGTATCAAACTTTTAATATGTTGAGCACAGAAGTTTTTTTTAATTTCTAGTATAAGTAAGTTCTTACATCGACAATCAACAAATTAGATTAAATGTAACAATAAAATGGTTGTCTGTAACCACAGTAACTAAATTAGAATATAAAGTATACAAGTCATAATTTACATTCTTTATTCTAAAATATGTCAATTTTTTGACAACAGAAGCACAAATAAAATATAATTTAAAATCACATTACTTAACTCCAAATGGGCTTCATTCTGAAATATTTATATGATATCAGACTAGGCGAGAGAAAATAAATAAAAGACCCCTAACACAAATGGGACAAATGTTTTATATATCTTAGAGTTTCACTTTAATTTTAAATTACATTTAAATGATTCATGAAAAGTCATCGAGAGATAACTTAATGAATCTAATATATCTTCTGCAGTGTAAGATAATAAAATCAAAGATGACAAACCACAAATGACATTTGTGGTAGTCAATATGTTAAAATTGCGAACAAACCGGGTCACGCGGAACGGCTTGAATTTTTATAAACACGCAAGTGCCCGCTCAGGTATAATTTCCACGGGTTTCATTATTATTCTCGGCAATGTTTGTGTGCGAGCGATTTTCTAAAAGCGGACGATACAGGGTGTTATTCTCTTGACAGGTCATCTTACCCTCAATACGTGGTAACCTTCTGTCCCGCCTCCCGGTATCTCCACGCTGTGAGACGACCCCATGCCTGCTGTGAGCTTCTTAGGTCACTCGGGACGAGCAGGTAAAAGACATTAAACCAATTGTCGATCGTGCGGCTTTGCGGGACACTCGAATGGCAAAAATACGTGGCAGTCGTGGCACGGCTATTTTAACGCAAACTATGGTGACGTCACACGACGGCCATGCGGCACAGTCTGTGCCGTCATGGTAGAAATACAAGGGTATGCTCATACCGTGTCAGACCACTGCGCATTCCCACCACTTTTATACAAACTTACGTCATATTCGTGTAGCATCGGAATGAATCGGATGTACTCGGTGATTCGCAATGGCTGCGTTCGCTCGGTTCGCTGTTTATGTCGAGTAATTCGTTTGTGATTATTACAGTGTACGCAATGGCGTGTAATGTGAAAGGGTGTGGGAACTATCCGGCAAAGACCAGAAAGATCGAAGGAAATAAAATAAAATATTTTTCCTTCCCAAAGGATCCAGCACTGTTTAATAAGTGGCGTCAAGCATGCGGAAAAGAAAATATTTCACCAAAATATGGTTTGTACTTTTGTATAGATTTCTCTTGTTTATTATTATAAGCATATATTTAAGAATCTTAAACCTTGTTTGCTTCAGCTAGGATATGTTCGAAGCATTTTGCTGATGAAGCTTTTACGAAGCCCTTACAAGAACATCTACTAGGTTATTCACCTATACGAACTAGGAAGATACATCCTGATGCTATCCCGACGTTGCATCTCCATGCAGTACCTCCACTAACATCAAACGAAAATGTGTTAGCTGAAACAATGCCTTTGCCTGTATCAAATGAAGTTTCGATGGATGTTGAACAGACACCAGCATCGTCCAGTATAGAAGAACAGACACCAGCATCGTCCAGTACAGAAGAACAGACAGCAG